GGTAGGCGGTGGGGCCTGGGAGGCTGACCTCAGATACTCCCAATGCCCATCAGATACTCCCAATGCCCTTGTCAGGGATTGGTAAGGAATCCTCACAGCAGCCAATCAGGGCAGGGCCCTGGGAGCCCTGACAGGTTGTTATTGGCCCTGCAGTGAACTTAGGTTTTGAAACTGGTGCCATCAGCTAAATGGAGGACTCCTAATCATGGTTTAGGGGAAAAGGGATGGTGAGATTTTTTTTTTTTTTTTCTGTCTACTAGCCACTGGTGGATATGAGGAGTTGAACAGAAACTATCTAACCTGTTCCTTAAAGGGATATCAAACTTAATGTACATTACTGGATTGCCTGTTATTTAACTGTGGATTTTCTATTCCATTGAAGTTCAGAGATCAGGCACCACACCATGGTTCAGTAATATTTCCCCTCTCTCTGGAGTTGAATATACCTAAGTACATATTCCTTAACACAAAATGTTAGTACACAATCCCCACCTCCCAGGGCTTGCTTAAAGGACAAGTGGGAAAGACAGTTAAAATTCTACAGTGTAAGTGTTAGGATTAAGGTATAAAGGCATTTCCAGAAGACAGAGAAGGCTGATCAGATAAGACTTCTTAGATAAGGTAACTTCAGAGCTAAGAGTTCCTGTAAAAGATAAGGAGCAGAGAGGCCAAGGGAGGGAAGAGCTCCAGGCAGAGAAGTTAGAACGAACACAGTTAAAACACAGTTAAAACTTCGGGGAAAGTCTTCTCGACAAATGGTGCCAGAAAAACATCATTATCTACATTCAAAAGAAAAAGGCTGGACCCCAACCTCACACCATATACAAACTCGGAATAAATTAAAGACCTACATTTAAGAGCTAAAACTTCATTATAAAACTTGCAGAAGAAAACACAGGCTTAGGAAATGGATTTCTTAGATATGACATCAAAAGCACAAGGAACAAAAGGAAAAATAAACTGGACCTCATCAAAATTAGAAACTTTTGTGCTTAAAAAAGAAAGAAAGAAAGAAAGAAAGAAAGAAAGAAAGAAAGAAAGAAAGAAAACTTTTGTGCTGAAAATGACACCAGCAAGAAAATGAAAAGACAATTCACAAAATGGGAGAAAATACTCACAAGCCATATTATCTGATGAACGGACTAGTAGGCAGAATTTTTAGAGAAGTCTTACAACTCAGTAATATAAAGACAAATAACCCAATGAAGGACTGGCCAAAGAGCTTGAATGGACATTTCTCCTTAGAAGACATACAAATGGCCAATGAGCAAACAAAAAAGAGGCTCGTCATTAGTTACCAGGGAAATCCAAATCAAAACCAAAAAGAGGAAGAATCAAGGGACAGTGAGGGGATTTAGTGCCTGGAACAGGCAGGGCTGGGACATGGGGCAGCAAAAGGAGGCTGAAGAGACTGGCAGGAACCAAGGCACAAAGACCCCTAAGACCAGACTCGGGAATTGATATTAAAGGTAATGGGAGCAAGTCAGAGTTTGAAACTGGGAAGCACTATATCAGATTCAATTTTTGGAAATACTACTACCACTATAGTAGGGCATGCCTGGATGCAGAAAGGCAGGTAAGGAGACATGAACCTGGGGCGACAGGTGACAGCAGAGGATGTCAAAGGGCACCTGGAGCATTATTCCTATTCCCGGAATCCCAGAAACTGTCTACTTTTATAAACACCATCCACGTTTGCGAATCATTTCTACTTTAGATGAGACAACAAAATGCTTACGAAAACTACTATGTCAAATGGAGTCTGGGAAGTTTCAGAGGAGTCTCAGCGTACAGTTGAGGTTCTGTGTCAAAGGCACTGAGTCGGGGACCAGCACTGAGAGCAGGGAAGAGACCTGCTGATTCTTTCCAGCCTGGTACTGATAAAATTACAGAGAACCAAAGACGCTCGGGGTTGCAAGGGATCAGAAAAGCCCACGAACCACGAATTGTCTGATGCCTGAATTCTATCTACAGGACCAAACTGTTATCCAGCTTTGCTTCAAGAGCTCCAGAGATGTGCCACAAAGGCGGCCCATTAATCCCATCTTCGGACGCCTCAGGCCATCACATCCTTGTCCTTTCTGCTTGACTGCCATCTCTGGATCCGCACCGCTGCCATTAAGGCCACCTGAGCAGAGCTGCCCGTCCCGGAGGCCTATAGCTGCCATGTGCAAGCCTTCTGTCCTTCTGGCTACACGAACATTCCCATCCCTTCAGAGGTTCCTCAGGGACTTGGTCTCGAGTCTCTTCTCTGGTCATCCTCAGAAGTCATTAGGACTCCTTGGGGAAACTTACGGAGTAATAGGCATAATGATCAGAGCACTTGTCGGAGCTCTGCAGGGACGACGACAGGCAGACCATCCCTGGTCTATTAAAGCAATGTGCAGGGAGCAGCTGTGTGCAGCCACGGAACAGGCCCTAAAGCTGTGAAGTAGATTTCACTGCAGCTGCTGCTACAGCACGTCTTCTCCATCTCGTACTTGTGAAATGGGGCATCGGACCCCGGCATGCCAGCGCTCCCGTCTCTCCTCAATTAACCCAGTCTCGAGAGTGATTATCTTTGCAGTCAGTCAGATAGTCCACAGCGTGACTAATTAAACGGATGGGAGAAAGAGGCCACAAAGAGAACGTGGACAAGCACAGCGAGGAAGCAAAGAGGAGTTCATGGCTATCAGGACATCTGCAAGGCCAGCCGGAGAGGGAGGCGGGAGGCCCAAGCTAAGGCAGAGGACACGTCCTGGCCCAGCAGCATGGACAAGCTGATGCTGGTGGGATGGAGAGAGTCGGCCAGCCTCCGGGGACAGCCCAGCTCGGGACAGCAGGCTCTGAGACACACCACGGCTCCTCAGAGCCACACCACGCATTTATTAGTCACGGTCTTCTTGTTTTCTTGTTTCTCCGTGCCTGTCTCACGGAACAGGACAGGCACTTTGCAGGATAAAAAGATGGAAGAAAAAATGCATGACTAAAAACCCAGACTAGAAGAAGAGCTCCGTGCACATCATCTTATTCAACTTTGGGGACTGTCCTGTCCCACACATGTTGTTGTCCACATTTCAGCGCTGAGAAAACTGGGACTCAAAACAATTAAGTAACTTTGCCCAAGGTCTTGTCTTTGACTAAGTGGCATTCAGACTCGAAACTAGGTCAGAAATTCAAGGTCCCACCTCTCTGCATCAGCCTACCTGTAACTTCTGGCTCCTTTCTGTGGACCTCCCCTACCAGGGCAGAGAGCAGCCAGCAGGAGCTCGGACTCTGAGGGGCACTGCTGAGTCCAAGGCCCGACTCCACCGCTGGCCGGTGAAGGTAACCTTTTTTTTTTTTTAAATTTCTTTTCAGTGTAACAGTATGCATTGTTTTTGCACCACACCCAGTGCTCCATGCAATCTGTGCCCTCCCCAATACCCACCACCTGGTTCCCCCAACCTCCCACCCCCACCCCTTCAAAACCCTCAGGTTGTTTTTCAGAGTCCATAGTCTCTCATGGTTCACCTCCCCTTCCAATTTCCCTCAACTCCCTTCTCCTCTCCATCTCCCCATGTCCTCCATGTTATTTGTTATGCTCCATAAATAAGTGAAACCATATGATAATTGACTCTCTCTGCTTGACTTATTTCACTCAGCATAATCTCTTCCAGTCCTGTCCATGTTGCTACAAAAGTTGGGTACTCATCCTTTCTGATGGAGGCATAATACTCCATTGTATATATGGACCACATCTTCCTTATCCATCCGTCCGTTGAAGGGCATCTTGGTTCTTTCCACAGTTTGGCGACCGTGGCCATTGCTGCTATAAACATTGAGGTACAGATGGCCCTTCTTTTCACTACATCTATATCTTTGGGGTAAATACCCAGTAGTGCAATTGCAGGGTCATAGGGAAGCTCTGTTTTTAATTTCTTGAGGAATCTCCACACTGTTCTCCAAAGTGGCTGCACCAACTTGCATTCCCACCAACAGTATAAGAGGGTTCCCCTTTCTCCACATCCTCTCCAACACATGTTGTTTCCTGTCTTGCTAATTTTGGCCATTCTAACTGGTGTAAGGTGGTATCTCAATGTGGTTTTGATTTGAATCTCCCTGATGGCTAGTGATGATGAACATTTTTTCATGTGTCTGGTGAAGGTAACCTTAAACAGGCCGCTTACTCTCCCTGCCCTTCCATCGCCTCAGCTGGGAGGTCAGGACAGTTCCCATTATGAGGGTTAAATGCAGTTATATCACTGAAGCACTTTTAGAACAGTTAGATAGTGCACACTAAACTATGATGATGAACTGAACTGGTTAACTAAACTGGTTAACTGAACTGCTTTACTAAACTTTAGTAAACTAAAGTTCACTAGATGTGAACTTGGGCAAGCATCTTAAGCTCCCAGCCTTCATCTGTCAGAGGGTGAGAATACAGGGACATGTCTTCGTTGTGATGACAGTAAAGCGCCCACACACGTTGGTCTCCTTATTGCCTTCCTACCTGACTTCAGAGCATCTCCTCTTTCATCCAGGATGGAACATTATTGCATCATCTAACCACTCGGATAATCCGTGAAGTTAGCATTTACTAGGTCAACTGATTTAGAAAAATAAATATAAATTGAAATGAAAAAGCTTGAAACACAGTGTGAAATCATTAAAATGAAAATAAAACCCAGGAATGACGTGATTCTGAGAGAACTTGCCCCCGGTTCTAAGGACGTGTGTGCTGGCAACGTCACAGAAACTAGCCCCACGGCAGGTGCCTTAGAGGGGGTCAAAAGGCAACTCACCACCCCCCCCAACGACTTCAGTGCATGGGGGAAGAATACTGGGGGGTGGGTGGGTAGGTTATTTGTTTTGCTGGGGGGAGAGGGGTTGTTTCTGATTTTGGAGTGCTAAGATGAAGTGTTTCCCTTCCATTTATAACTTTCCTGAGGACTTATTTATAACCCTTTAGAGATGATATTTCTGGTTAAGTATAAGCTTGGAAATATTTTAATTCAAACCACACCAATGGTATATCTAACCTTTACACGGTCCGGGTCCACATAATGCATTTTTTTCATGTCACATTCTTCAGTAGTATAATTTAACTTGAGAATATAAAGGATCCACACTCCAAACACAAGCAATGTACACCTGGAAAAAAAATCAATTAGGTATAATGATGCAGTTACAGGAAAACCAAGAGAAATCATGTGAAATAAGGGAAAACCTACCCCAGACTGAGCTTGCCTGCTAGGTAACATAGAAAGACAGCCTTTAAGGTGAACTTTGTGGTCAACTTAAGGCACCACTTCTTACTTTCCTGACAAGAAAAATAGTCATTTATGATTGTTTTTGTTGTAATACAGAGAAAACATTTTTATGCAAAAATATGAATCACACTGTAGACCACTGGACTTTATAAAACCAGGTAATAGCTTTTGAGCTATAGAAACTCAGCTTCGATTTTTCGCCACTTTAAAATACTGTCAGTCTTTCCAATACTGTATGATTCCACTTACATGAAGCACAGACTCAAAAACCACAGAGACAAAAAGTAGAATGGGGGCTGCCAGGGGGCCAGGGAGAGGGGAAGCAAGGGAGTCAGTGCTTAACGGGTAGAGAGTGTTGGTTTTACAAGATGCAAAGAGTTCTGCAGGTGGATGGGCGAGGGCTGCATACCTTGTGAATGTATTACTATCACTGAACTGTATAGAAATGGTTCAGATGGTAAATACTATGTTATGGCTACTTTACCATAATTTTTAAAAATAGGGGGAAATACTGGGAGCCTTAAAAAAAATAAGAAAACAAAATAAATAATCTATTCAATTATTGCTCTAAAGATTCTACCCAGAAATGAGGCTAACTGAAGTGAAAAAGTACCACCAGTCATCCTTAAGACCATCTACAAAAACTGCTTTTAAAGATCCAACAAACTCATATTATTATACAGTTTAAAATATACACATGCACACACATACACACATAGGATTAGGAGAAAAGAATTGAGTCGAATCCTGGTTCTAGAAATCTTTTTTTAAAAAAGATTATGTATTTATTTATTAATTTGGAGAGTGGGAGTGCAAGTGGGGGGCGGAGGAGGGAGAGAGAGAGCATCTCAAGCAGACTCCCCACGGGCTGTGGAGCCCGATATGTGGCTCAATCCCATCACCCATGAGATCACAACCTGAGACAAAACCAAGAGTCAGACACCCAACTGACTGAGCCACCCATATACCCCTAGAAACCTCATTTTTAATAAGCTCCCTAAGTGACACTGATAAACTAAAGGTTAAAAAAAAAAATTTAAACCTAAGTTTAGGAACCATTGTTTTAAATAATTTGTGTTACTGAGAAAGTAACACAAATGAGGAATAACCTTAATGGGGAAATGATCTCTTTTCTAATGAAGGGGCAATTTAAAAATACAGCATCTAGCACAATATACTATACCCAATAGATGCTAAATATTTCTTAATATGTAAGGAGGATGATGAAGGAAAGTATTTCTAGGAAGTGAAAACCTGGACAAGCACCCTAATTTTCCCCTGTGATGGAGTACCATGTTAAGTGAATAGGATGCTACCATCTGTGTAAAAGCAGGGGGAGAGTAACACACACACACACACACACACACACACACACACACACACACAATTTCTTATGTACACAAGACTGGTAATATTGGTTACCTTTAAGCGGGGGGCAGGAAAGATAGGATATTTTACTGAGTACTTTTAATATCTTTTGAATTTCAGATGTTGTGAATGTAGTATTACCTTTATTCTCCCCAGCTCCCCTCCCCTGAAAAGGTACTACCTTGATGCATATAACAATTCCCTTATCTTGATTACGAACATACAAATGAGGAAGGAAGGAACAACAGTGTGTTAAAAGCAGGCCCTGTACCTACACCGCTGAGGACACTGCACTGGAATGCCTGGTCATGAGTCTGTCATGCCCACACTGTGTGCAGCGTGGGCCCAGGAGGACCTCGTTCACTGCCAAGGGCTGGTGTCCCACACAGTGCTGGGCATGTCAGGCCTCAGTAAATACGGGATGATGACAGAAGGAGACAGAAGGAGATGGAAAATATTAATGTACATTTCCTTTTTCCACCTTCCTCCTCCTACACCTCCTAAATTAGGGATATTTTCAAGAGGGTGATTTCCTTTCTTTTTTCCCCCTTTTTTTAAAAAAGGATTTTATTTATTTGAGAGCGAGAATGAGAGAGAAGATGGGGGATGGGGTGGGGGCAAGGGCAGAGGGAGAAGGGGAGGGAGAAGCAGACTCCACTGAGCAGGAAGCCTGAGGCAGAGCTCAATGCCAGCACCCCAGGATCCTGACCTGAGCTGAAGGCAGACGCTTAGCCAACTGAGCCACCCAGGTGCCCCGAAAGGGTGATTTTCAACTTGGTTTGGCTGCTACCAAATGCAACCTCCGAATCCCTTCCTTACCAATTCTACCACTTATCAGGATATAAGGGTGACCTGCCTGAAACACCTGTCATCTTTTTTAGTGTTCAATATTTAAGGCTCTCCAAAATCCTGTAGGGGACTTCAATTAACTGTATTTTTAGATTAACTTGAAACAGCTAAGGGGGAAAGCCCTCCTTCATTACATAATACTGAGAGCACTGTGCACGTAGGAGCTGCTCTCTCGGTCACTGAGGCTCAGGGACAGAGCCTGGGCACTCCCTGGCTGACACTGCCCTCTCAAGGACAGCCAGATGCATAAACCCAGACATCTGTGTATGGAACCTGCACTGAATGTGCCTTTATATGACCTTCTCTGAGCAAGTATGAGAGCCAGCCTTCGGGTCCCACTGCACTCTTCTCCCAGCTCCCCACAGTGGACCTGGCCAGAGGGATTCTCAAGGCCCGAGGGCTCATACTTACTTGAGGATGTCTTTAAGTATCAAGTTGGGTCTTCTCATCTTGTTCTGAGCTCGGGAGTACCATTGCAGAGAGGGTCTCGAGCGATCACTTCTCAGTTTCACACAGTTATACTCACTGGGCATTGCTGTGAAAAGAGCAGAAGCCAGGGGCAGGGAAAGGAGGGAGAGTCAGGCAGGTCATGTTTATAAAAAGCCTTTAGGCGACATGGCCAGAGCAGGGAATACTACTCAGCAATAAACAAGAATGAACTTGTGATACCCCCAACAACCCAAGTGAATCTAAGGCAACTGAGCCAAGCCGAGACTAAAAGTTTGCGCACAGCATGATTCCATGTATGTGAAACTCTTGAAATGTCAAAATTACAGAAATGGAGAACAGATTAGTAGCTGTCAGGAGTTGTGGAGGGGTGGGCTGAGTATGGCTGGATGCTTGTGATGATGGAGATATTCTGTGTCTCGACTGTATCCCCATCCACATCCTAGATGTTGTACTATGGTTTAGCAAGATGCTGCCAGTGGGGGAGACTAGTAAGGGGTACATGGGATCTCTGTATTTTCTACAACTGCACATGAAACTACAGGTATCGCCAAATAAAAAGTCTAATGTTTTTTCAAGAGCCTTTACCTTTTGGAGGTGCATGCAGAACTATTTACAGATGGAACAGCGGATCTGCTTCAAAAAAGTCAGGAAGGGGATAAGAGTGCTCGTGGGGGAATGGCTAAGGCAACGCTAGCTTTAAACTGATTGTCAAAGCTCGGCACCGGGTACCTGGGGCTCATTATGCAATATTCTCACGATTTTGTACATTTGAAGTTTTCTATAAGAAATAAAAGTTTAAAGAGGAAGTGTCACAATAGAAACTGAACAAAAGTGTTACATTAAGGAAAAAAATGGCAATTTTAAAAGATATTTTTCTTTAAAAAATTATATGTTTTTGAGTATACCTGCCTATTCATCCTTTTGAATTTGTTGTGTTCTCAAGTTTTCAATTTCTAAATAATATTCTAGGGGGTGTTGTAGTAGAAATCAGTATGTCCACCCCTGTATAAGTTTCCCCCTTAGCTAGGAGGGCAGCCTCCCAGCAAAAAGACTATATTTCCCAGCCTCCCTTGGAACTAGGTACGGCCTCATGATTAAGTCCTAGGCAACGGGATGAGCAAAAGTGACGTGTACAACTTCCAAGTTTGCTTCTTTTCCTGCTGGCTGAAATACTGACACAGGGGGAGCCACTCTGGGCCACACAGACAGCATACCACCAATGGATGGTGGAAGAACAGCAGAGTAGGGGCCTGGGTCCCCAAGCAATCCCAAGGACAGAGCCGCCATTCTACCTTGGGCTGCCTGCCTCGGGGCTCTCAGAAGTTGGAGAAAAACCGCTGTCTTATTTAAACAATTGTTAATTAAAAGTGAAGCCATAGCTTGGCTAATGTAGGCACCTATCAGAGTATGCTATTATGATAAATGTATATATTAAGAAACAATATCTTTACTACAGTCTTTCAGCCAAGAGGCAGTTGTATATGTCATTACACACTTGATTTCCATTCAAGTTGTGTCATTTCCTTTGAAAAAAATCTTTTACCAAATTGATGTTCAAGTAGTTAATGTTCTTGCTACTGGAAACAACCTCTCCCTCAACTCCAATTCTACCTGTGTAGCAAGAATTTTCCTAGATGTGCACCTTCTGAATAGTTTCAAGAAGCAGTGCCAAGGACCTCACTAGCAAGCCCTTGCTGAAGAACAACTGAGACCTAGAAATGTTCAAACACCATAACTGTGGGGTACTTTAACACGTGGCCAGCCAACTGGTAGGAACTAGCAGGCGACCCACAACCAGTACATATACAGTTTCTAAGATGTCTGTTTTTCCAGCCAGAATGACATGCCATTCACCCCAAGGCGGACCTCCAGTAAACAGTGACTGCAGTGTCAGAGAGGAGCCCATCTCTGCCTCTGCCTGTCTCTGCTGTGCTGGACAGCGCCATCCCGAGTAAGCCTGTGAAATTCCCTTCCTGGGACTGGCCCACCCACTTCCTGATGAGCTGTGACTGTGGGGCCTCCTGGTAGAAGACAGCAAGACAGGAGAGAAGCAGCCCTTCCTGTCCCCTGATAGAGCGCAGCCTCTGGCAGGGACGGTGACAGGCACAGGCAAGAGAGGGTGACTACATGTGACTCCAGCGGCATCGGTGGGCATCTAGCATCCTCAGTTTCTACTCAGGAGAAGTGAAGGCACCTCCAACAGCTTTGTGACAAGTACAAGCTTCAGCCCTGGGTGACAGAAGCTTCCTGATCTCTGGCTAACACTTCTACACCTCTTTTTAAAAGATTTTATTTATGTATTTATTTGAAAGAGAGAGAGAGAGAGAGAACAGGCAGAGGGGCAGAGGAAGAGGGAGAATCTCACGCAGACCCCAAGCTGAGCACTGAGCGCAACGAGGGGCTTGATCTCATGGCCCTGAGATCATGACCTGAGCCGAAAGCAAGAGTCAGATGCTCAACCAACTGAGCCACCCAGGCGCCCCTGGCTAACATTTCTTTCTCACTTGAATTTTCCAGCCTGCTACCGTCTTTGCCATCAATCCCCTGCATGAAAGTCCTCCCTGCCCTAAGCACATCCGTGGTTTCAGGTTTCCTGCTGGGCACTGACTGCCACGGCAGATGGTGCTCCCCTGCCACCAAGTGGGATTGTTCAAGGAAGGGAGGGGCTCTGAGGGCAGCAGAGTCTGCCATCCTGAACCCCTTCTTCTTCTCACTGTCACTGCCACACAATACAATCCATGCAAATGCTTAAAAACAAAAACAGCTGTTTTGGGGTTTTTTCTAATCGCACGGGAGAGGATCTCAGGAGAGGGAGTGTGAGAACACGGGATGTGCAGCCTGACGCCTGGGCTCAGCTCCTGCACTTACCAGTGGGGAAGCCTGGGGCAAGTCACTCTCACTCCTGCAAGCCCAGTTTCCTCATCTGTAAAATGGGGGTGGTCATATTACCTACCTCACAGGACTCACGCGGGGAAAGGGGTCACCCATCACAAGTCCTGTGTACCTGCTGGTTGTCGCTACTATTATCACACAGAAAGGGACCTTACAGGCATCCACTCTCATCTGACAAGATTCATCTGTTGGGGCTTTAAGGCTCATGTCTTTTGGTCACCCTTATTTCCAGACGCAGTTTTGGCTCTAGCTCAATCATGGAGTCCTTTTTTCCATCCGTTCCATTTTCCTTCCTGGTGTTTCTAGAGAAGCAACATCCTCCTGAAGCCCCATGCTCTCCCCCAGGGTCTGGTCCTGGCCAGTAGCCTCGCTTTCCCCCAAGACCTCTCTCAACCTGTAAAACCTCTAAATGCTCAGGGCGAACTGGCCCCTCACTGGCCCTGCTCCCTTTGAGAGCCGAGCCACTCTCAGCCTGTCTACCTTCCTTCACTCCATCTGCACACCATGCCTGGGATACCTTACACCAACACGTCCTCTAAAACCTCTTGAACTTTCCTTTAAAATCCCAGACATATATCTTATGACTCAAGGGTCCTGGTCTCTACCACCAGTCTTCCCCTCGTCCCACAAATACTCACTGCAAGGCTTCACCACCTGCCTTTCCCTCACCACCTCAAGGGAGAGACCCCCTCTAAACCCCTATCTCTGTGCGGACCTCTCACCTAAGTTCAGACTATGTGTCCGACAACCTACCTGCTGTCTTCACCTCAGACATTATGAAGGAGAACCTGGCATTTTCCTCTATTCCTTACATCATTTGGAAGCTGTGCCATCCACTCAGCCATCCAAGCTGAAAACCTCTGTCACAGAGGTTTTCAACTCAGGCTTCTAACTTTCATTCCCAGCCCCAGTCAATCTCCAGAGGCTCTCGCTCATACCTCCTTGAACTTTTTTTTTTTTAAGATTTTATTTATTTATTGGACAGAGACAGAGATCACAAGTAGGCAGAGAGGCAGGCAGAGAGAGAGGAGGAAGCAGGCTCCCCGCTGAGCAGAGAGCCCGATGCGGGGCTCGATCCCAGCACCCTGGGATCATGACCTGAGCCGAAGGCAGAGGCTTAACCCACTGAGCCACCCAGGCGTCCCCTTCCTTGAACTTCTGATGCCCAATGACATTCCTCCAGTGGTCAAGTCCCTGGAATCCATCTTGATTCTCTCCCCTCAGAGCCATCTTTCTAAAATATGTATCTGTTGAATGGTTTCCAGCTCGTCTCAGGTTTTATGACTTCCAGTGACAAACCTGTCACACTCTGGCCACAAAAAAATACTGTTAGAAGCCTGGATGTGCCAGAATGCTACCTCAGTGCCTTTGCACATGATGGAATTCCAGTGGGAATCCCAACAATCTGCCTGGTGAACCACTTTTCATCTTTAAACCCTTCTCCCCTGTGAAGATCATTTTTCAACACTATGGCTATCCCCAGACACTTCCGCATCTTTGTTGACAGCAATGAGCTAACACTGTCTGTGTATATCTTAGGTTTCTTCTATCATTCTTCTGCAAGTACCTGGAGGATGAGCTGCAGGGCCAGAACTCTGTTCACCTTTGTATCCCCAAGATCTAGGACAGAGCTTGGCACATAGCAGGTCCTTAGGAAACATCTCGCATGGATGGAATGTACATTGCATGCCCATGACCTGTCTTCAAACAAGATAAGCATCCTCCAAAAATATCTAAGACAAAAACTGAAAAAAAAGTTAACAAAATTATAATAGTAAAGAATAAAGTATAAGCTCTACAGAAACATCTACAATGTCCAACAACAGGGAATCTGTTGATAAATGATCATTGCAGAATCTGTGGAATCTGGGACCACAGCCTCAGCACCACCTGGGAGCGTGTGAAATGCAGAGTCTCTGGCCCCCCAGATCTGCTAAATCAGGGGAGCCATATGATGAAAGTTTGAGAAGTACTATTGAAGTACCAGGTACACACTTTTTTAAAAAAAGATTTTATTTATTTATTTGAGAGAGAGTGAGTTAGAGAGAGTGCATGAGCAGAGGGAGAAGCAGACTCCCCACTGAGGAGGGAAGCCCCATGCGGGGCTTGATCCCAGGACCTGAGCTGAAGGCAGCCGCCTAACCAACTGAGCCACCCAGGCGCCCCGGGTACATATATTTATTGACACAGAAA